GTTTTGAAAGTAAATTGAAAATAATTATTTCATTTCATAAGTGCTGAAAAGCAATTTCAGATCACGGTTTTGATTGCACAGGATTCATATGATAGTTTATCGCATTTCTTACGTGAAAAAAATCACTATTTTGAATTTATATTTGAAAATGTAATTAAAATTTGTACCACGTCGCAGTCTAATATAATTTCCAAACAGATCCCGTAATTCAGTCAAGGACATTTACAAACAATTTCTTGACATATCTTTGGAGGCCTAAGTATGAACCACCACATCATTGACTTATATTTTATGTTATCGTAAATAAAGTGCTTATTTACGACTTTTAGTAACAATATTTACTTGACTGAAAGTCAACTTGTCTGCTAGTACTATGACCACTGAGAAACGTTCATCTTTATATATGGATCTCACAAAGCACATAATATCTCATATCTCTCTCGTATCTTAAATCTTTCGGATCTCACAAGTAACAGTACCTGGAGGAGCGAGCTTTTTTTCGGCTAAATTTACCGTCATATTCGAATGATATTTTTCATTCCCTGAAAACAGGGATAAAAGGACACTTTCTAAAAATGAAACCTAGCTAGATTGATTTTTTGCCCCCGAATATACGGACATACTAAATTTCAGGAAATCGCCCCCGAATATACGCACATACTAAATTTCATGAAGGAGCCGTTTCCGATATAAAGAACTAGAAGTAGATATAAAGAACTAGCGACCCTCCCCGGTTTCACACGGGAGCAATGTATTATACATATGAACCTTCCTCTTGAATCACTCTATCTAGTAAAAAAAAACCGCATCGAGATCCGTTGTGTAGTTTTAAAGATCTAAGCATACATAGGGACAGACAGACAGCGGGACGACTTTGTTTTATACTATGTAGTGATGCACAGCAAAGAAACGTTTACATTTCAAGTGACATTTTACCACATTCACTCACTCGTTTTGCCTTCCCGGAACCCCTCCACTAACATTTAAACTTTATGGTATGGTATTAAAGTTCAAATAGACTTTTAAGTATTATTACGAATCTTTTGTACGGGAATATAGAAGTGTTGTTTTTAGACTTTTCAGGCAATTTTTTAAATTTTTTTCTTTCATAAGAACCTTCTCCTGATAATAACAAACACAACAAAAAAAAAGTGAATTCGGTCCAGACGGAAATAAGGATTCATTTTTAAATATCTCTTATCCTTTAAACGAGCAATTCTTGTATATATATATAATACAAGAATAATATATATATACTAGCGGCCCGCCCCGGCTTCGCACGGGTAACAATAAGTTTAACAAAAAATTAAAAAATTAAAAATTATCATACACGCACATAAAACCTTCCGAATGTTTCGTCTGTGGTGAATAATTTTATGAATTTCTTAATCTTTTAATGAAATATCCTTGAAATTACGTTATGAAGATCGAAAGATCGCTGACCAGATAATGGTTCCGCTTTAATTACGGGACGTTCGGGGTTACACGTAAAAGTGACAAATAAGTCTGGTCTCCCATAGCTTCAGACATAAATCATCGCATCTTTGTTTTTTTAATGCAGATAATTCGGAAAACCTGTTTGATGGGCCAATGTCTTGATTTAAAGCATCTCTAAGATAAATGTTTCACCAGCCCTCAGTCTCTGGTTATTACGACATAATATGTAATTCAATCTTTCTGATATCTTTTTGCCATCATATCGACAATGTATTGAACTAAAACCGGCCAAGTGCGAGTCGGACTCGCACACGAAGGGTTCCATACCGACCTCACAGAAGACCGGGGTAAAATAGAAGTGTTATACTTATACTTTTCGTCTGGTGAGAGAGGTTGCCGGGGCCCACTTTCTTTAAAGATGGCAACTCATTTGCAACCCTACAGGTGTTGTAAATGTCCATGAGCAGCGGTTATTACTTAACATCAGGTGAACCGCCAGAACGTTTTCCACTCTATCACATTCAAAAAAATCATGTTATAATATATTTATTCAATATAGAAGTATTACTCTTACATATTGTCAAAAACACTACTGCTGTCAACATTATCTATAAAACCGGCAAAAAAATCATGTCTGTTTTATGGGAGCCCCTCTTATTTATATTTTTTTTGTTTTTTTAGTATTTATTGTTATAGCGGCAACAAATGACAACGAAATACATCGTTTGTGAAAATTTCAACTCTCTAACTATCACGGTTCATGAGATACGGCCTGGTGACATATGGACAGACATACGGACATACAGACGGACAGCGGAGTCGTAGTAATAGGGTGCCGTTTTAACTTTTGGGTACGGAACCCTAATAAGTCCCAGTAATAATGTAATGGATTAAAACAGGTAGCTCTAACCATCAACCTAAATGCATAAAATTGCATGCATGTCACAGTTTTGTTACACACAGTACCTTTTTGAGGAATAGTCAAATATTAACCGTCTTCTCCTATTACGACTATTAAGAGATATTTTAGTGGATCATACAATCGGTGTAACTCAGAGACCCTTTTAAGTTGGCCGTGTGTACCGTGCAACAGTATATCTCTGGGGACTTTTTAGGGTTCCATACCCAAAGGGTAAATCGGGACCCTATTACTAAGACTCCGCTGTCTGTTTGTCCCTCTATCAACAGGCTGTATCTCATGAACCGTGATAGTTCCAGACTTGAAATTTGATTTTTGAATTTAGGTTTTGTGGGTATTTGTTTCCCAAAGAGGCTTGACGTCAGGCAGGCGGCTGGTTGTAAAAATATAGTTTTGCCGATCCCACCTAGGTGGGATAGGGGAGTATAATGATAACTTGTATATTTGTCCCTCTATTTTAAAAGTTCTCGCTAAACGAAATCATTTGAAAGAAGCTATGCACTTTCGAATATTGGTTAAAAATGTCCAGATGGTGAATGATATTTGTCAAAAGATTTTTTATTGGCTGTCGCGGCTCCTCATATATTGGGGAGACTAACTTTTCCAGAAGCACAGCACATACCATTTGGTTCATCGACCCATTTTTTGGCAGAACACTTAGAGCAGCTCTTATTCATGGCTCCAATTTGGACAAAAGACTGTTGAGCTTAATGCATTAAAGCTGATCTGTTACTGTGAGCTAAAAGTCGATTACGAACTCTAATCGTTGACGTTTGTTGTCTTTCCCTCTAATCTCGTAGGCGATGGGAACGCTCAGAACTCGACTCCCTAGTGTGAATTTGTATATTTATATTAATATGCTTTTCAAGCCGCTGCAAACACTACTTGACTCTCTCAGACTTTTAAGACTATTTTCAGTTTCCGATAAAGATTCCTCATTACGACGTATTTTTGATGCCCTCGCCTGGAAACTATTTCTAGAAAGATGAGATCTTTAAAATGATAAAAAGAATTAAGCTGCCTTTGTATTTAATATGTAATTAATAGTTAATATGCTAACTATCGAATAGGAATTACCAGTAGAAATGTGATTAAAAAGTTATAAGAACTACTAAGTCAGTCACTAAGCTGTTTGGATAGTTAAATTCCAATATACTAACATTTTTAAACTTGTGATATCTCTCGAATGGAATGTCCGAATTTAATAATTCAAAAAGTTATATAAAGATATTGAAACAGTCTTAATTATGAAGTAATTTATTTTTATAAGGATTAATACCAAGATACAAATAAAGAGCCTTTTCTAGCGGCGGCATTTCAATCAAAATTTTAAAATAAAAGAACACTTATTGTGGCATAACCATAATAGTTAGACATATGCTGTCCCGACACTTTTTGTAAATAATGATGTGTTCTGCAAAGTCGTAGTACATTATTTCATTCTATCATCAATAGTTTTCGCAGCGCACGCGATGTAAAGAATATTTTTGGTAATTTTTGTACACTTTGGGTTACATTATTGAAGTTTTAGTAAGGATCCCTATTTTTTTTCTAAATATAATATAGCCTATATCAAGCAGGGATAATGTAGCTTCCCAACAATGAAAGAATTTTTCAAATCGGTTCAGTAGTTTCGGAGCCTATTCAATACATACAAACAATCAAATCTTTCCTCTTTATAATACACAGAAGAAGATAATCGGAATCTCGGAAACGGCTCCAGCGATTTTCATGAAATTTAGTATGTGCGTAGATTCGGGGGCAAAAAATCGATCTAGCTAGGTTTCATTTTCAGAAAATGTCATTTTATCCCTGTTTTCAGGGAATGAAAAAAATAATTCGAGTATGACGGTAAATTTCGCTGCAAGAGAAATGTCATAATAGCTCGGTCGGTAATCGGGCGGCCCTAAACATTGTTATTTTGTTATTTTTTTCCCTTTTTTTTTAAAGTTCTTTCTTTTGTGAAAAACATCAGTTCATATTTTCTTATTATTACGTCGGTAAGATCGAAAAACATTATGCATATTTCATTACTCAGTAATTTGTATCTAAATGTTATTTCCAAAATACACGATTTACCAAAAAAAAAAAACAAACCGAGCAAAGCTCGGTTCTCCGGGTACTGTACATAATTGGAATAAAATTATTTGTAAGTTTTATGTTGTGTAAAATGAGTTTATTTAGTAATTAATTTAGTAAGTTACGAAACCAGATCGCTTGCTTTGGAAAATTACCTGATTAAATATTTATAAACAATAATTTTACCTACTATAACCATTAAAAACAATTTATAAAAAGTTTATAATTCAAGAAATGGACTCAATTAAAATTTTATGACAAATAAAATTGATTTCATGCTCTACTAAGAAGAAGGAAGTGCAATGGTCTTCTACTTGCTTTGGTTGTGTATGTATGTATGTCGTAGGACTCAAGATAAGGCACGCATATTGTGTTAATGCCAACGGCTTCCAATAAAAGTAAATTAAATTAATTCTATGGATATTTATTCACTCTCAAAAATGATAGATAGTAATAGGTTGACCATCAATAATAAAGTTGTAACTTTTTTATGGTATTAAAATAAAATAGTGATACTTTACTGACTACCACTAATAATTATTGACAATAATGTTTTCTTTTGTAGGTCGTATGCAATCAGACAGTTTGCGACTGTGCTGGCTTGAAAGGCGATCGGGGCGATCCCGGACCTCCCGGCATTCCAGGCCTTCAAGGAGAATACGGGGACGATGGGCCTGAAGGTCGTATTGGAATACAGGGTGAAGCTGGTGAATGGGGTGAACGAGGGGATAGCGGTGACAAAGGCGAACGGGTAAAAAAGAACATTATTTTATTTTAAAACAATTCATTACTTTGAAGATTTTTTATAATTAATAATATTTGTCATTTCTAGGGCTTGGACGGCCCGTACGGTCGCAGAGGATACACAGGACCTCAGGTAATATTCTAATTATCGTGAGTAAGAAAAAAAATTAAAGTAACAGTATTTGGTGTGTACATGCATTTTTTATACAAATTTGTTTATTAAAGTTTTTTAATGAATTAATTAAAGTTTTTTAATGTTTAAATCAAAAGGGACCCCATGGATTGGAAGGCGTTAGAGGATTGTCAGGATTCGATGGATGTAGTGGTATTGATGGCGTTACTGGACCATCAGGAAGGCAAGGTCCTCCCGGTGACAGGGGTCTAATGGGACCATATGGAGAAAAAGGCTCACAGGGTTTAGCTGGAGAAGGAGGTGTTAATTCGAGAGGAGCTAAGGGAGATCAAGGAGATTATGGGCTTCATGGATTGCCTGGACCACCTGGACCAATGGGTTGGAGAGGAGATAGTGGGCTTCGTGGTGAAGAAGGTGATGAGGTAAACGAGATTTTAACAACAGAATGCTCCAAATCTTTGATTAAAAAAAATAACCATAATTATTTTTCTTGTAGGGACTAATGGGCGCTAAAGGTGAACCAGGCTATAGAGGAGACCCAGGTGATGATGTTGTAGGTCCTCCTGGAGTAAAAGGAGATCAAGGAGAAATTGGTGAACCAGGCAGGCCAGCAACAATCGTGAACATTGATACCTTTAAACATAATCTAAGCATAATAGCTAGAGGAGACAAAGGTGAAAAGGGGCTGAAAGGTATGCAAGGTGTAAAAGGGTTAAAAGGAGAAACCGGTTCCAGGGGTCCAATGGTAAATTAAACTTAATGTTCTTTGCTTAAAGTTTTGCTTAGAAAATTGGACAACTACCGAACTGAAACTTAAATATAATTTGATTTTCTTCCTATAGGGTCCATTTGGGCTGAACGGTCCACAAGGATACAAAGGAGACCAAGGAGAAGATGGATCAAGAGGAAAGCCTGGGCGTAGAGGAAAGGATGGTCCTCCAGGACCTAAAGGTGATAAGGGAGCGCCAGGTTTTGTCGGTTTCGATGGAGAAGATGGCCTTACAGGACCACCAGGAGAAGATGGTAGGCCTGGAATACCCGGTGAGCAAGGGCCTATGGGAGAACCCGGAATTTTTGATGAGAGATTAAATGAACCTTTATTACCGGGCGCTCCCGGTCCACAGGGTCCAATTGGGTATGAGGGACCAATAGGAGCTCCAGGAGTGGATGGATCACCAGGATTACCTGGTATTATGGGACTACCTGGTTTACCTGGTACAAAAGGATTCCCAGGTAGAGTAGGAAACCCTGGAGTTTCCCCAAAAGGAGAACTAGGGAGTGATGGGTTTAAAGGCTTACCTGGGCCCCGTGGGCCTCCAGGCTTATCAGGTTTACCTGGAACATTAGGACCCAAAGGATTTAAAGGATCGACAGTTGTGGGTCCCGATGGAGAAGACGGTATGCCTGGTGCTGACGGTATACCTGGGCCTCGAGGAGATAGGGGTGATTCGGGATTTATGGGTCCACCAGGATATCCAGGACGTGGTGTACATGGGATGGGACCACAAGGAGAAGATGGCCCGCCAGGGCCGCCTGGTTTTCTTGGTAGTCCAGGAACTCCTGGTCGCCCAGGTTATCCTGGGCTGAAAGGTCAAAGGGGTGATGACTGTCCGTTCTGTAAATCAGGTAAGAAGTTGATGACATAAAAAGTTAACACAATTGGTGTAACATTCATTATTCATACACTAGGTTCGGGCCACGAGCGACTTCAGCATTAAAGTACCTATACAAACAAATCGACCTAGAGTTCGAAGACCCACTATTACCGTTTTTTTAACAAAATCCAGAAACATATTTTAATAATTATTATTACAATAAGGCTATGCTTACAGGTTTACCGGGTCCAAAGGGTCAAAGAGGGGATGACGGTTTTCCGGGACAAAAAGGATACCCAGGAGTTGAAGGTCTTCCAGGAGCACGTGGTCAGCAAGGGTTTCCGGGTAGTTCTGGTATTCCTGGCCCAAAAGGTCCAAGGGGTAATAAAGGACAATCTGGTATGGCTGGACCCCAAGGATTAAAAGGACAAAAAGGAAGGCTAATAGAGCCTCCGTTAGACTTAACACTAGCAGAACGGGGCCCACCAGGAGATAGAGGTAATAGAGGGTGCAAAATAAAAATTTATTGTACCACTAATTATATTGTTCGTTATGGAAAATTTTATCTAAATACCACTAGCCGAAATTCGACCTACTTCTTTATGGAAAATGTTATTAAAAACCATTTATGAATAAGAAATATAAGAGATTTACATACCTGTTATATATTTATTTTTACCACAAATCTATCAATATCAAATTAAATTGTATTTAATATTGAAATAAAAATCAAAAAATAGTATAAGTACTATTACAAAATGATGATTTTGTTATCAATCTTACATGATATTTTCTTTATTAAGAAGAATTAGAAGATTTTTCGGTGGTAGGGCCACGTAGCAGACTTGGCTGTTGCACGAATGGGCAGGCCCGTCCGGGTAAGTACCACGACCTCACAGAAATTCAGCGTAAAGTGGAAGTATGACAAATACTTTCGCGTTTCGTCTGGTGAGTGAGGTAGCCGGAGCCCAATTTTCAAAAGGTTTTCAACGCCTCTGTAACCCTCGGGTGTAGCAGATGTCCATGGGCGGCAGTATTCACTTACCATCAGGTGAACCGTCTGCTCGTTTGGCAACTTTTCACATAAAAAAAAAAGATTTTAAGAAGATTTTATTTATTAAGAAGCTTATTCTCTTCCTTTAGTGTCAGTGTCCAAGTTTCGCAGCCATACATTAAGATGGTCTTATATATACGAATCTTAGTTTTCCGGTGTATAACTATAAATACTTTGTGTAGAGCCGCCGCACTTCTCGAGCTCAATCGGTCTCCGTTATTACGCAGCCTAAGTATTACACTTTCTCGACTCCATTATATGTACTGCCATTATGCAGGTTTTCTTTAGGCTCTAATATATTCTGGTATCTTCGCATGTGTAAATATTCCGTCTTTCCTATATTAATTTTGAGGCCACTCAGGGAACTCTCCTCTGCCAAAGCTTTCACCTATTCTACGACTGTGATACTATTTCTCTTAGCAGTGCAAGGTCGTCTGAATACCCAATAATATATGTCGGCCGTTTATCAGCACACCACCGTCTAACATTCCTATTTTCCTAATAACATGTTAGAGTGCTAGTGATGACATCAATTCGTCCGTCAGCTCTCCTCCTACCTTACGCCGCATCTTACTCACACCTGTGGCAACCACAATCAGCCTGATGACTTTCTGGGTATACTTTCGTAAGCTTTAGTAAAGTCAAAGAAGAGTGCGAGCATTTCTTGAGCAAATTCCCACCTCTTCTCCATGAGCTGTTTAAGTAGGAATATTTGATCTATTCTGCTATGGTTGCGCCGGATCCCATACTGGTAGTCTCCGATAATTTTCTCTGCATGCTTCTCTAGCCGGGGTTGTAATACATATGAGAATACCTTGTAAACCGTCGGGAGTATTGCTATAACTCGATAGTTTAAGCACTTCTTACGTCCCTTCTTATGTACGGGGCAAATAATTCTCACATTCCATTCTGCTAGTGTTCTTGTTACTGAGGCCCAGTTCCCCATAGTTCCCCAGTCCGTCAATCCCAGGAGCTTTGTTATGCGTTTATTTTGTTTTGTTTTATGTTTTATTAAACGTAATTTACAGTTTATAATAATAATCAACAGGATTTATTGGTGAACCGGGCCTAACAGGGGACGCAGGATGGCCTGGTTATCGCGGCGATTTTGGCCCTATTGGAATTAAGGGAAGAATGGGAGATTTCGGCCTTCCCGGTCCTCCGGGGCGTAACGGATCTCGCGGACGAGATGGGGCTCCTGGTTGGCCAGGCGCAGATGCTGATATTCCAATGGCATTTTTGCACGGTGAAAAGGGAGAACCGGGCTTGAAGTATATATTATTTGTCTCATTAAATAGTGTTAAACATTATTTTTTAACCATTAACAAATTTCTAACCATTAACCTTTTGAAATACCTTGCGTCTAGAAAGATAAAACATTTAGATATCATACAAAATATATTCCAGAATGATGAAGCATTTTGATATCATATAAAGAATTTTTCAGGGGTGAACTTGGAGATACCGGTGAACCAGGTTTGGATGGTGAAGTTGGAGATTCTTTAGAAAATGGTATCAACGTCAAAGGTGAAAGAGGCCCCCCCGGATTTCCTGGCAGAAAAGGTGTGTAGACTAAATTATATTTACCTAATAGTTTTGTGACGACTTTAAAATTGTTAGTGATTTTTAAAATTATGTGTGATACATTAATATGAAGTAATATGGGTTACTACGAGTATGTTTGTGACCCCATTTAATGCTAAGAAACTGTATGATATACATATACTCTCATTACTATTTGTATGAGAGTATAAGTATATCATACAGTATTAGAGAGTATAAGTTTATCATACAGTATTATACACTATTTAAAACTCTAATATTAGATCTATACAAATTCAATGTTATTTTACTATGGTAATTTAAAAATGCAGTATTATTAAGAATTAGCCATGAAATAAAATCATGAACTTGTTACCTGTTACCTTCATTGCAATAATGAGCTCATGCTAACAAAGCTCATAAACTAATAAATATTGCAGGATTCCGCGGAAGAAAAGGGGAGCGTGGTGATATGGGATATGACGGATTTAGGGGTACCCCTGGTGATCAAGGACCCGTAGGTAATTATATTCAGGGACCGGTGGGAATAAAGGGATTTGTTGGAGAAAAAGGAGAAATTGGGCCTAGCGGGGAGCCAGGTACACGTGGTCAGCGAGGAATGACTGGTTTCGGAGGAAACAAGGGATTCAAAGGATCCAGGGGTGACGCCGGCCTTGCTACAATTTTCGGTGAAAGAGGTACAGATGGCTTTCCCGGTGAGCAGGGTGATATAGGAGAACCAGGGTACTCTGGTACTCCGGGGCGCTCAGGTGTGATTGGGATTAAAGGACAAACGGGAGAGCCGGGCGACGATGGACTTGACGGACCACGGGGGCCTCCAGTAAGTTTACCAAAACAAATAGCTAAAAACATAGAAAACCACCTTCTTATTTGCCAACTTTTAACATAAAAGAAAAAAATGCGCGAAACATGTAAATTTAGTCTTTATTATTCATGTTTGTTTTAGGGAAGAAAAGGTTTACCAGGAATAATTGTGCAAGGTGCTCCTGGACTGCACGGAAGACCAGGATTACCAGGTCTAATGGGTCCCATTGGCGAACCAGGTTTACAAGGATTTAATGGACTGCAAGGAGATGTTGGTCCTAAAGGTGTAAAGGGAGAAGCTGGTCGTACAGGAAAAAGAGGCTGGACGGGCGATATGGGACCGATTGGTATCCAAGGATTCCCCGGAATAATGGGATCACCTGGATCTAATGGCTTAACGGGAGATCGTGGTGAAAGTGGAGTGCCAGGATATCCAGGACAAACAGGCAGAGTAGGTTTTCCAGGATCAGATGGACCTAAGGGTATGCGCGGTAATACGGGATTAATGGGTAGGCTTGGATTGGATGGTCCATCTGGAGTCAAAGGGGAAAGGGGAGATGAAGGATTTATAGGACTTCAAGGTATACAAGGTGACAATGCTTCAATTGGCATGAAGGGGGACGTTGGAGAGCCAGGTTTGGAAGGTTTGAATGGAACACCAGGACTCATGGGCTTTAAAGGATTTAAAGGAGATAGAGGAAACCTCGGATTAGCTATTGAAGGAAATGAAGGTATCAAAGGAGAAGAAGGTGATGCTGGTTTACCAGGTCTTCCTGGTTATGATGGAGCAAAAGGTGAATTAGGTAATTACGGAATTGAAGGTATTCGTGGAGAAACCGGTGATAAAGGATATGCTGGCGTGCCTGGAATTCCAGGAAGACGTGGTATAAATGGTTTAAAAGGTCGGCGGGGATTAAGAGGTCCAGTTGGAGTAAAAGGCGACAAAGGAGAATTAGGAATGGAAGGAGAGCCAGGTATTATGGGTAGACCCGGTCTTCCGGGAGAAGAGGGTTTACCGGGTCCACAAGGAAGAAGAGGCGAAATCGGTTTTAAAGGACAACAAGGTGAAATGGGTATTACTACATATTTACTCGCCACGAAAGGTGACATGGGAGATATTGGGATTGACGGAATACCTGGAATCAAAGGAGAACCAGGCGAATTTGGCTTCTACGGATCTAAAGGGATTAAAGGGGAGCGAGGGGATATAGGTTTTAAAGGGGAAATGGGTGAACAAGGCTTAAGTGGAATAAAGGGTATGTTGGGTGACGTAGGTGCACCAGGATTGCCCGGTTTAGATGGTATTAACCCGGAGAGAGGGGAAAAAGGTATTTCAGGAATCGATGGACTTCCGGGATGGCCTGGACCAATGGGCCAAAAAGGTGCCCCTGGTGAGTATGGCATAAATGGTCCTATTGGAGAACCTGGACCACCAGGGCTCAGTTTTCAGGGACCGAAAGGGTTCAAAGGCATGGATGGTAATATCGGGAGACCAGGAGCACCAGGCAAACCTGGACCTCCAGGACAACAAGGACCTCCTGGATTCCCAGGACCTATTGGTGATAAAGGTATTGAGGGATCGACTTTTAGTGCTAAAGGGCAATCAGGAAATCCAGGACTCCCCGGATACACAGGTTATAAAGGGGAAAAGGGGGCATCAGGTGAAAATGGAGTGGACGGAAACCGGGGACCTCCAGGCCCAATGGGACCAAAAGGAGAAAGGGGTGACACGGGTCTACAAGGACTTTACGGTATCCAAGGAATAAAAGGCGTTAGAGGAGAAAAAGGTGACACTTTACATCCATCAGAAATATTACCCGGTCCTGTTGGTGATATTGGTCCCATAGGATCCCAAGGTCGTCCAGGACGTGATGGACTCCCTGGAGAATTTGGACGTGATGGATTGCCTGGTCCAAAGGGTGAAAGAGGAGATATTGGTGAACAGGGCACTGTAGGACCACCAGGACTTGCAGGACCGCCGGGAATTAAAGGACAATTGGGTTTAGAAGGTTTTGTTGGGCTTCAAGGAGTAGCTGGAGCTCCTGGTAGATCTGCACCACCTCCACCAATACCAAAATCAAGAGGATTCTACTTTACAGTACATTCGCAAACAAGAATGATTCCGCAGTGTCCAGCAGGAACGTCACCTTTGTGGGAAGGATTTTCACTCATACACATCGTTGCAAATGGTGAAGTTCACGGACAAGATTTAGGTTAGTATTTTAGTATCTTTATCAATAATTCAATACAAAAACAGATCCAGATCTTTGATGAATTAGAGAATTCTTATAGAATTAATTTGGTCGAAATTAAAAGTTTGTCGTACTGACCGTACGACAAAACGCTAATTTCATAGTAAGGACCTAATATTTATGAAAGAAGCAAAGATTTTTAGAAAGGAATATAATAAAAATGCTTTAAATATGGAATGGCACTTGGCATGATTTACAATTTTAAGTCTTGTTTTAGTGTTAATGTATATATATATATATATATATATATATATATATATATATATATATATATATATATATATTCAATATTAATTTCAGGCGCTGCTGGAGCTGTCTACGAAAATTCTCAACAATGCCATACATGTTCTGCAATCTTAACAACGTTTGTGACTTTGCTCAAAGGGATGATTACAGTTTCTGGCTCTCTACTCCGGAGCCTATGCCTACTGCTATGAGACCAATACCTGCCCGAGATGTCGGAACTTACATATCGAGGTAAAACTCCGTTTCATACTTTTCCTCTCTTAATTATACAACTTAGTTTCATTTAAACAAATAACTGATAACTTAATCCATCAGATCTAGGTCGCGTTGCGTTAGGTCGCATTGACCTAACGCGTAGCTTCTTTCATTTGTACATATGTATTACGCAATAATGATGATGACTCCGTGGCGCAGTTGCCAAGATATTGGCTTCGGTGTCGGGGGTCGTGGGTTCGATTCCCACACGGGACAACTATTTGTGTGACCCACAGATAGTTGTTTAGCATCTGGGTGTTTGTCCGCGTGAAATTTATGTTGGTAAAACGTCCTTACAACACAGGATAATATTATCCTAAAGTAAGGGCAGTGTTTTTTTTCTAAAAAATAAAAAATAAAATAAGATGGTTATGGAAAAAAATACTGGGAATACATAAAAGTGCTTGTCAAGTGCACGACGCGAAATTTAGTTTATTTCAAAATTTAGTTTTTAGAGCTTATCGAGTGTACAATAGCCTAGAAGCTAAAATAAAGTAAATTTCTCCCGTTGCTCAATTTGTCCATTGATCAATTTGTGAACGTGCAGCTGAAAGAAGCTGTTAGTTCTTTTCTCTACTCTATAGCTGTACAATTTTATTTGTAGTCTATATGATGGGCTTTGAGAAAGGGGCGGGGACAGAGACTGACTACATGTTCTAGGCCTGGAGCGGCCAAGACTGCAAAACACCACTGTTCTTTTCATGACATGCACTATACGTGGGACACTCTGAAAGTTTTGAGAAACTAAAAAACTAACTTATATGGATAAAATAATTTCATTAAATCTTTTCAAAAAACTCTCCAACCTCTCAGCCTCTGCACAAAGTTTCACGAGTGAACCAATTTTCTAAAAATTTTTCACTCACATAATAAACAGTACCTGGAGGACCGAGCTTTGCACGGTTTGTTTTTTTTTTCTAAATCGTGTATTTTGGAAATTACATTCAGATACAAATTACTGAGTAATGAAATATGCATAATATTTTATGAAGTGGTGTTTTACACAAAAGAAACAACTTTAAAAAAAAATAAGAAAATCATCTGGATCAACAAAAAATAAAAAATAAAGAAATCAATGATTTGAATACGAAAAAAAGGAAAAAAAAGAGTGTGTAAATGATCGTGACACGAAACACGGCCGTCTGTTTTGGGGCCGCCCGATTACCGACCGAGCTATTATAACATTTTCTTTTGCGAAATTTACCGTCATATTCGAATGATATTTTTCATTCCCTGAAAACAGGGATAAAAGGACATTTTCTAAAAATGAAACCTAGCTAGATCGATTTTTCGCCCCCGAATCTATGCACATACTAAATTTCATGAAAATCGCTCGAGCGGTTTCCGAGATTCCGAGATATGGCACCGTGTGACTTCTTTTTATTCCTTAAAATAAAAAATCTGAAAGGGATACAATTTTCATCGCCGTAAGACGCGCTAACAGCGTTTGAAGAGGTGTCTGCGGCGGACTGGAAAAGTGTATTTAAAACGTTTCAGTCTCTTTGTATGAAAACCCTTTCCTACATTTGTCAGCAGATTGGGCTGGATGCGAGAGATATCACCTCTGAATTTGTCCCAAACTCAGTGTGTGGTGAGTGGCATGTACAGTGCGTGGCTACATTGTCCCTACACAATAATACAGTATTCCAGAATGCTCACGACAAGAGTTGCACAATAATCTTTTTGTTTGCAACCTCCGGAATCGCCTTCTAAATCTAATAATCAATCCGAGTCTATAAGAATCTCTTTGTTTGCATTTTTTAAATGGCCACCAAAGGCTAACGTTCATATAATCTGTTTCGTTGTTTCATATAAACACATACCTACTTATAAAAATTATTAATAAGTAAATATTATTATTAACTTATTAAAATTAAAAATTTTAAGACGTTTTGGTGCAGAAAATAAACTGCTGTTGTTTCACTTACAATTTATTTTACTAGATAAAGTGATTGAAGAGGTAGGCTCGAAGGTATAATAATACATTGCTACCGTGCGAAGCCTAATGTGATTAGTAGTAGCAATAAGGGTACGAGTATGTATTGACTCAGAGAAACAGGAATAGAATATACGAATGGTAACTGATAAGTTCTTGACCTAAGGTACCTATCGATGGTGCATCATAACGTTCAAGGTACGGTTGCATCATAACGGTAAGGTTGAACAACTCGTTAATAGTACCCATAAATTACAATGCTTTTTCAAATTTGTTTACATCTATATCTCTGGAACGGACAACCACACCATATCAATGTAAACTGGAAATCCGCACACGACACAATAATTAAGTTCCTTGTCGGTTCTGCACTTTTCTTGACCTGCTAACACTATGAATGAAGAATGAGATTGGCTATCTAAACAACAAAGAGTAGTGACGCAAGAAAATGTCGAAAAATTAATATTGCCCAGAAAAAAAACTGCGACAGATAGTCGAATTTATGGACAATTTATCTAAACTAAAATTTGTAGAAAAAGTACGAAAAGATTGTCGCCGCTGTGGGAATAGAACCCACGTCTTCGGCATTCGCGGCCTGACGCTTTAGCCACGAAGATTAGAATTATAAAAGATATAAGAGTGCAGAGGTTGACTATTTGAACTATTGACCACCTACACTATAGTACGACCTAGCTCGCAGTGACTTTTACAAATTAAAAAAAGGAGTTATGGACCCAAACATTTTCCGGCGATATTGAGATAAAAGTAAAAGTAAAAGTAAGAAAACGCAAATTAAAGGGAATTACAAGAATTACAAGGGGAATTAAACAATATTTTTTTAAAGGTATTAACCCTTAAACGGCCATATTATCATTCGGGATAGTAGTGACTTCGAAGGGTAGATTATATAAAAAGGTTTTTGGTGTTTTTTTACGATGGGAAATTATATACCTATATTCGTTAAGGTTTTTTTGGTAGAAAATTATATTCCTATATCCGTATATTCATCTAAGTAGAAATTAACTAGTTATTATCTGCGGATTTACTTGATAATTTTTATTTGAGTAAATAAAAAAAAATAAAACTAACAGTTGTGATTTAAATTAGTATTCTTAAAATAATAAAACAAAACTGGATAAATGTAAATAATTTTGACGTTCACGTAATACAATTAAAATAAATTTTAAATGATAGAGATCAGTAATGAATTAATCACCAAACAGAGTTCGCTGGTCGCTTAGAGTTTTCGAAACAATAAATAATGAAATATATAATAATTTATACGAAAAAAAATCTACATTTACGGGTCCGCCAAACAGAAATTTTTAAACAAGATTGCGCACGTGCGTTTTTCTTTTGCTTTGCTGCTGCAATAGCAACACCATTTATCTCTTTAAGTCTCCTCTTTTTAGAATACGACGACATTTTCTATACAAAAATATTATATATTTTCACGAAGACAAACAACTTCGTTCTATATAGATAAAAAAAGTATTTCCTTAAGTTTACAACATATAGTACATATTCTATTTTTGAAAAAAAAAACAATAACATAATACTTATAAGAATTTTTCACCGTAATTGAAAAGAAACACTTCCAATAGTATAGAAACCGTTGGCAGAAATGAACTTTCGACTTTTACTTTTTATTGATACTGATATATGACATTTATATATGTGTTGCCCTAAAAAATTTAAAGAAGTATCGATGTAAAGGCGTAATAAATTAATTTTGGCATTTTGGAATTGAGGCCGATTCCTAAGTGGGAAATAATAGTCCTATGATTTAATAAGGGTTAAGGATAGATCCTCTTGATGCGAAAAGTGTAATTAATTCCCTCTTCCCTCTGAAAAATATAAAACCGTTACTCAAAATTTTCCCGTAATTTCAATAGTAATGATTGCAATAATAAATAAAAAATCATTACAATAACATTTTCCTAATTTAGTTAATATTTAATATAGTAAACACTTGTTCAATAAATTATATGGTTGTTTCAGTTAACTAGAATGTATGTAGGGATTTAGAATTGAAACTCGCATGTTTTTTTTTTCAGATGCCAAGTTTGTGAATCATCAACACGCACAATAGCTATACATAGCCAAAGTAATGAAGTACCGCCCTGTCCCCAAGGTTGGGATGAATTATGGATAGGCTACAGCTTTTTAATGGTACACCGAAATACTCTCTATTTTTATTGTAGAACATTTACATTTTTCAATTAAACCCTCGGTGGCAACTGATATATACAAACATTTTACTTCTTTTAGCACACAGCTGGAATAGGCGCATCTGGACAAAGCTTGATATCACCCGGTTCCTGTCTTCGTGAATTCCGTACGCGTCCATTTATAGAATGTAACGGACTTGGACGTTGTAACTACTTCGCAACTGCCGTTTCCTATTGGCTTTCGACCATTGAAGATAATCGAATGTTCTTGCGTCCCAATCAGCAAACATTGAAAGTGGATCAAGTATCCAAAGTCAGCAGGCAAGTCATTTGTGCACATTTGATATTTTTAATAGCTTTCAAAATTATTTTCAGAGAACTTTAAAAAATATGCCATTGAGTCACTTGGATTAGACAGGTACCTGAAATAATTTATTAATTTTATGCAATTAATTTTTGTAAATATGTAAGGTGATTTTATTTCGCGGTCATGACTGATAAATCTTACAAACGTTTTTTGAATATTTCTTAAATATGGTCATTTTGTAACGACATCGTCATAATGAGAGTCAGAATCAAAAATTTTAACTGTTCACATTAGAAGCATAAGATCACGGCAGAATCGCGAGAGGACTTTGGTAAAAAGCTCAACGGTGTCTCCCAAAAACGTTGGGCTTTAAGTTGAACATAGAAAAAACGTAACAATAATACGGACATTAAACATGATCTTTGTCTAATGTGTACATTACCGGAATAGGTCAGAATAGGCGTAATATGTACGCCTATTTGAAAACTAATGGATGGCGTTCGGAAAACTTCGGAATATTTTCTTGACAAATAAACATCAAAGTTTGAATACCAAAGTCTTCAATCAATATGTGTTGCCCACTGCCAAGGATCAAGTCTCAGTTCATCACTATGAACTGAAACTTGATCCTTCACTGTTGGTCGTATGAGGACGCTAAAAGTCGCTCAGCGAGCTATGGAACGGGCTATGCTCGATATTTCTCTGCGTGAGTTCGTTGTTACATCCGCAGTATAACACTGGTAACAGACATAGCTCCAAGAAATAGTAAGCTGATGTGGCAATGGGCCGACCATTAATCTCGAAAAACCGGTAACCAATGGGGAAGAAAGGTTCTAGAATGGCAGTGTCCTCGTATTGACCATCGTCGATGTATGCAGAAGAATCGAGCTTCGTGGCAGTCTATGTACGAAGGCATTGTTCAGCAGTGGACTCAGACAAACTGAAATGATGATGATGATGATAATGTAGCATAACATCCTATAGAATAATATACAAACATGGATATTTTGATTACAACTTATAATTATGTTAAATGGATTGACACATCTTTAATATACAAAAACTCAAAATAACACAGGTTTATCGCAATTAATAAAAGGTATTAAATTTAACACTAACACAAATAATTGAGGAATTGCAAAAAAATAATTTACAAGTTAATTTGGATAAAACTAAATTTATAAAGTTCTATCAAAGATGTGCAAATGATTTAAATTTAAAAGTAATACACAGAGGAAACAAAATTGAAAAACTTGACTACACAAAGTTTTTAGGCTTGACAATCGACACTAGATTAACATGGACTTATCAATCGGACATAGTGTGTAACAAAATAAGTAAAGCGGCATATATTCTATGGAAATTGTCTAGCACCTTAAACATTGAATCACTGTTAACTGTATATTATGCCTATGTAGAATCGCATCTTAGATATGGAATCATATTCTGGGGAAATTGCAGCAAGAAAGAAAATATATTCAGGTCACAAAAAAAATGCGTTAGAGCGATGTGTAAATTAAAAACGAGAGAAAGCTGTAAATCTTCTTTTATAAAATATAAAATATTAACCATGCCGTCGTTATACATATTTGAGAGTGCGATGTTTGTAAAAAATAACTTGTCTCTTTTCTCCAAGCCCAACCATGAGCGAAGCAGACGTGACTTACACAAACTTTGTTTACCTAAAACTAATACTAAACTTATGAGCAAGAGTATACTCTGCATGGCACCAAAAATATATAATAGGCTCCCGAAAGAAATGAAGGAATTAAACACAAATCTATTTAAGAAGAAACTACGCGACATGTTAACAGAAAAATGTTATTACAGTATAAACGAATTTATATCAAATTAATAATCTAAACGTATTCAGTGAATTAATAATGTGCAATTTTATCGAATTTTTTATATTTTTTTAGTCATTTAATTATTTGTCATTTTGTTCTCTGTTCTATTATTACTGTTTGTTAACTTACTTTTTTCATAGACATATGTTTTTAATATTATTTTAATATTCTGTTATATAATTTTTTCAATTTTATTTTATGATTATAATAATTAAGAAATTTGAGAATGTATACTGACAACCTTTAAGCGAACATATCATATTTGCACACCCTACAAAATGGGTAGAATATAGCGATAAAAATTACTGTGTTGTACACCTCATGCCTAACCTATATTTCGCAAATAAATACATTATTATTATTATTATTATCGAAGGTGTTCGGTTTGCATGAGGCGGAGACCGGGTCCACCTGCTGGCGGCTTCTACCAGACCGGCGACGTAAGCTCGGTGCCAAACGCGGTGGTGCGCCGCCCGCCCGTCAACCGAAGACCATACTCACAGTTTCCACGCCGGTATCGTATCACACGCGGCCGTCGTCGCCAGTGAGAAATATTACCCACGTAATGTGATAGTATACAGCCTCATACAATAAACTGTTACAATTAGGATGCTTAAAAAGTAATTTTCTAAGTACTTATAACTAGTGGAGCAGTTCAAAGGATCAAGTTCAAAGGAGATAATTCTCTGTAACTGCCATTTTTGTATTATATTAAATAAATAGATATATAAGCATAAAATGCATACGACAGTTCGTTTTCATTATATATCCTGTCAATTTCATTGTACAACAGATATATAAATATACAAATATATTATTATTTAAACCATCTGCATTCTACTAACGATGTGTAAAACCAATTGCACGCCAATCTTAATGCGATTTTAGATGATAGCAAGTACCACATGGTAAATAGTTATGTTCTTTAGGTTTCGAAATTATGCATTTTTCATTTATATTTAGTCATTTAACATATACTGTGTAATTTGGAACATCTTTACAAAAAACGGTAACCATAATGTATTTTTTAAATGTTCAATTTTGTAAATATTTATATGTTATCCTGATTACATTTGTATATCAATAAATTTGGATATATGCAAACCCATTTGTTTTAATAATTAAAGCATCCTGAATGGCTTCTACGACGATCACTGCAGTTCCACAAAAAAGCGTGAGAGAATGTGGAACATGAGCAAAATTGTAGTCGCGGTGTACTGGTACAACACTGAAAATTAACTGCTCCGGGTCTCACCTAAATGATTGGGTATGGCTAACTTTCAAGACATTCGGGGCAAACGAAAGCTAAAGGACGTTGTGGTCATATTGTTCAAAGGCAACTGAGGCCATATAAACGGTAATCGAGTAATTAACAAAAGCAAATGAATTCAGTGCTTCGCGTACTGATGCTGATGCTTTACCGTTGAAGATTTATGGAAAGACTGCATCTCAGAATTAATATGAAAGTCCAGCTCTATAATAACAACATTAAAATTTTGTAGAAAATCTTAAGTGCTTAGATTAGCACTATAAAAATTTTAGGATCAAGGTTCAAAAAGTATGATTAGTTTTGCAGGCCATTTTTGTAATGTCTAAGTTACAAACACACAGCTCATTACAGAGTATATATGCCAAGATTAAAACAACAAAACGTATAACTAACAATAATGCATATTTTGATAATGACCATACCTTATTTCGGTAGAGATAATCACTTGATAAAGCTCTTGACAAAATAACCGAAACTTACACATCTGTTGAATTTTACACCCTTGACAACAAACTTCATAGTTGTGTCATAAATCGCGGCTGATCACCATAGAATAACTTATATATACTGAGATATATATATATATATATATATATATATATATATATATATATATATATATGCTGATCACAGAACACTAATACTCTCACGAGAGGCTGACGGTCGGTTCAATTATTATTGTCGTACAAATATTTGAGGATGATGTACCAAAGTTGCGTGAGGCATTAAGAAAGCAGTCAATCATAACTGAAAGGCAATCATAAAACGCGAATTTCCACTACCCCGACAAATATAATTTTACCGTCCTTACAGAAAGTGTAGTTCTCCTAATAACGATCAGTGTAGCGGAAAAAGACGAACTTATTTAAAAAGATTTTTATATTATTATATGAAAAATGTTTCCCTCTCTCTCTACTAGATTTCTTCCAGAGCTCATACCAAACACAGTTTGATCTGATTTTAGCATATGAGAGAAACAAGTATATTGGAATAGGGAGCCAGTTTTAATTGCTTCCTTGGCACAATGGTCAGCAATTTCATTTCCTTGAATATCACTGCGCCCAGGAATCCAAGCTCCGAAGATATCAATATTCCTTTTATATGACACCTGTAAAGAGCAACTATCTTGTAAATTAACGGAAAATTAAGTTTATAACGGAAGACATTAGCTAAAATCGCATTACAAATCTCTCCTTCTATCAGTATGTTTTATCCCTTTCGAATTCATTCAACCCATTCATATCCTTTGTGACCTTTACAAATGAACTTTACGTTACAGTTTTATACGTAGGGGTGTTCTAAAATTGTTTGTTTTGGAAAATTTAATAACTCGGTAAATATTGATGTTTAAAGAATGTAAATGATTATAATAATAAGTTATCATCTAAATGTGTATTGATTTATAGTCGCGTTAGAAGCGACACGCTGCATAAAAGAATAGGGAATGCCATCAATTCCAGGCGAAGAATCTTTAAGAGATCCTAACACAATTGAAAGTTCTTCAAGAGAAAAAGGCCTGTCAAAAAATTCTGAGAATATTAAAGAGGAATTATAATAAATCGTTGATTCTTGAAAAGTTGGAGCAATAGGGGGGCTAAATTTTGAGCAAATAATTCAATCCACTGTGCAGTATTATTTGAGGATATATTGAAATTATGTAATACACCACAACATAATCATTTAATATTTCTCCAGACTAGAGAAGTGGGTGAGGCAGGGAACAGAGATTCACAGAACTTGTGCCAACCTGCCCTCTTTTTGGATGACAAAACTTTAAGAATTTTTGCTGCTTTGTTTTGGTATATCATAAAGTTTTGAAGAGTCATGGATTTAGCATAAATTCTTACAGCTTCCTTTCTTTTTCTGCAGGCATTGTAGCATTCTTGATCCCACCATGGAGGGGATCTGATTGGAGATATAAATTGTTTTTAAGGGGGAATGCTTTATCTGCTGAGGATATGAGCATATTTTTAAAATCAGAATAAGAAGATAAAAAACTCTCAAGACTCACAGGTTGAACAGAATTTATGAATTCATCTGTAAAAGAAGCATATTTATACCAGTCACCTTTACCAAGATTATATTTTAGTCCCCAGACTATTTATTAATTCCTTGGAATCTATTCCAATTTTTTCTCCCAAGAACAATTTGGAATAGATTCCAAGAAATTGGGGTCTGAAATAAGTATAGGATAGTGATCACTACCATGAGTAGAAGATAAAATACTCCAACAGAGAAGTGAGGCAAGTTCTGAAGAACACAATGACAGGTCCACAGCACTTTTTAGATTTTGAGATGGTGGAACACGGTGCGTTGGCGAAACATCATTGAACCAACACACAAAGATTGCAATCGTCTAATATGTCTAACAATGAAAAAGATAAATAATCACAAAAGTGGGAACCCCATGATGTATGGTGAATATTAAAATCTCCAAGAATAACAAGCGGAGGAGAAAGAGAAGAAATAATAGAGTAAAGCCTAGTGAGTAATTGACAAACTTGGATCAGGAATGTATATAGATATAATAATAGCATGGAATGCTCTAATTGCAACGATATTAATAGATTTATTATGAGGCGGGAGAAGAATGTGACTAAATATAAATTTTCTGGAGACTAAAATTGCAGCACCTCCATGACCATCGATTCTGTTTTCACGGAGACATGAGTGTTTTGGGACTAAAATGAGCACCAGATTGTAGCCAAATCTCCTGGACAACAAAAATGGCTGGATTTTACTGATAGATTAAAAACAAAAGTTCGTTTTTTTATGTTTAATACTCATACAGTTCCATTGAAGGAGGGTTGGGAATGTTAAAAGATAAGGAGAGAAGCTCAGTAAGTTTAGATTTTAAATTTATTGGAAGCTCAGTATCATTATAACGGGAGATTATATTTATAAGTGTAGATAATAGCAAGTCTAAAAGACTGTCTTTTGAAGAAATATCTTTTTTTCCCTAAGAGCACACCCATCTGAAAGAACTGATGAAGGAATTTCTATAATAAAATTATGGCCACGTTTATCAAATCCAAATTCATCAGGTTGGGAATGAGGACGTCGGGGAATGGAAACTGTTTTTTTATAAGAACTCTGGCTATTATTCGAAGATATGGGTTCCTTATGGAACTTAGTCTGGCAGCATCAGCAAAAGATCTCCTCACTTGATGGAATCTAGCCGAAGCTTCCAAATAAGAGATATTATCTTGCGACATAACCATTTTTATCGATTTCTCCCTCAGATGTTCAGGGCAAGAAGTATTTTTAGCGGTATAAGGACCAAAACAAAAAAGGCATAAAAGGTTTTCTTTGGTGCATGTAAAACCATCTTGATTTTGCGTACATTTGAAACACCGGTGGAACTACATTGTGATGTGACATGGCCAAATCTACAGCACTTGTAGCATTGGATAGATGGTGAAATATATGTTTCAACAGGGATAGAATTATAGAAGCAATATACATGTAAGGGCAGTTTTTGTTCTCTAAATGTAAGAACACAGTTTGTGAGGGGACCCAAGTATTTTAATATCTATAGTAATACTTCTGTTCAATCTACGAGCCTTAATAACTGTGCCAAAATCAGAGGGAACTTCTAAAGCATTCACTAGATCTTCCATACTCCAATCCATTAGAGTCTGTCTTATAAATACCCATCCGAGTTATGTGGTATGACGGGATTATTGTTTCATAGTTAGCTAGGGAGAGAGAGAGATGTTCACAGAAAGTGATAGCATCTCTGGCTGATTTGAATTGAACAGAAATCGTGTTTCTTCCCACTTTTTTAACACCATTATTAAGAATGTTTTGAATTTTATTACGAAATAGAAATTGGCCAAACTTTATAGGTTTTAAAGAGATGCCAGCAGAATGGTCATTTACAGTTTTATTGCCGAGAACAATGAACGGACCAGGGTCCTCATCAGAGTATTTAGTTTTTGTCGAAATGAAATCGGGATAGACATAAGACAATTGGATAGACGGAGTGGATTGTAATGGGTCGGTAATGATCTTTTTGAGGAATGTACATAAGACGAATCCTCCTGGGTACGTTTTCTTGACAAAGACCCATTGTAAATGAAGAAACAATATTGTTGCCACCTCCTGGGTCAGGCGGTTCATTATCCATTATACAGATATTAGAACAAATTAACTCTTTGAAATACAATTAGTAACGCAGAATTGCACCTACACTAAAATTATGAAAAAATGAGATGTCAAATTGGCATCACAAATCTACATTCACAAATTTTAATTATTTTTCGTAAAATTTAAACTTTATGTTATTAATAATAAAAATCTACTTAAGCTTTTACGATGAGCACTAATACACCATGAAAATGAATGTAATACAATAACAAGAATTAAATTAAAATGAGAGTGAATGAGGTGCAAGAAGTTGTCAAATCGAATCTACATAATACTTAAATGCACCCTAATATATTGAAAAGAATGCTTAGAAACCACAAAATTAGGGATATAAAAATATCATGAATACATCATACCTGTATCACTTAAACGCATCTAATATAAACAAATATTTTTTATGGTAGTTGTGTACAATGTTTCATCTTGTTAATGTAGACAGCTTTTTAGGTTAACTTATGAAGATTCAACAACACTGTTTGTTCTCATTCATTAAAAGATTATTTAGTTCTTTACTTATTTTATTTTTAGATTACATTTAAATTTAAAACTTAATTTAATCAATCTAAACATTAATACAAGACTTAGTCTTATTGCCACATATTTACAGATACTATGAATTATAGAACCTGCATATATAATTTTTAATTATTTAAATAACAAGAAAATAAAAAAGGAATGTTTTACACTACTTTAACACTATTCAATAGGTCTACTAATAGAATCTAAATGTTTTAATTTATGATCATCTAGCATAGGTCTTGCTTCATAAGTGCAAATTGTGACTCCATGTCTGTGACCCGGTGTCCATTCTCCTTTTAAGCCAATGTAGTAGATTTTTGTAGTTTCAGCACCGAAATTGGCAGGAAAATGCATGGTTAAGTGAGATACAGATGAAAATGCGACAATTCTGGAAAAAGAAACATGACTGATGATGGCCTAACTGGGGTACTCTCACACAACAGTTTTAACAGTTGCACAAACGGGCAGGTTGATGCGAGAAAGTACTACAACCTCACAGAAAACCGGGGTGAAGTTGAAGTGTTAGACATCTGCATTTCTTCTGTTGAATTTACCTAACTACCAAGGCCTACATTATTAGAAGGTGGCAATGCATCTGCAACCCTACGGGTGTTGCAAATGTCCATTAATGAGGCGGTTATCACATAAAAACCGCCAGCTCGCATGCCACCTTCTCACGTAAAAATAAATCTATTTTTATATAATATCGATTTTTTTAATAAAATAAAAACTAACTTGTAGGCGGTCTGGATGTTGTCTACTTAGCGGCTAGTGTCTTGATGCGTAATTTGTAAGATGCAGGTTTAATTAAATCTTGGCTTGAGCGAAAGCCAAGGTTTAATTAAGCCATTTTATCTACACATTTTTAAGTTTACTGTGTTTTAGAAAGGTTGTTATAAAAAGCTAATGACAAGAGATCCATGCTCTCAATGAGTAATAAATTATAAACCTTTCATTTTTATTTTGCCAACAAACAAGATTTTTAAATAACAAATTTTTTAAATAAAATATGTCAATTGTTGTCAATATGTCAGTTGGGTATGGCACAAAGCGCTTCTGCTGCTTCCCGAGAAATTATGCAATTGGATCACCAGCTTTTTGGAAGATCGGAGCATCAAGGTCGTGGTCGATGGTGCATGCTCCGATCCTAAATTTGTCAATGCTGGTGTTCCACAAGGCTGCGTACTGTCTCCTACTCTGTTTCTTCTGCATATCAATGACATGTTGCAAATCAGCAACGTCCATTGTTATGCAGACGATAGCACTGAAGATGTCTCGTACACTGGCCGAGCTATCATTTCTCGGGAAAACGTCTACGAGAGTCATAACCAGCTTGTGTCTGTGGTCGAGACTTTGTTAACCAAAGTCTCAGACTGGGGTCGACTAAACCTAGTCCAATTCAACCCCAAAAAGACACAAGTTTGCGCGTTAACCGCTAAAAAGTCCCCATTTGTCGTGACTCCTCATTTCGAGAACACTCCTCTATCTGCCACAGCTAGCTCACAGCTCTATCGGAATGCTTGGCGTCGAAATCTCGAGCAACGTCCAGTTCCGCGGTCAATTGGAAGGAAAGGCCAAATTGGCCTCAAAGAAGCTTGGTGTGCTCAACAAGGCGAGACGGTACTTCACGGCTGCTCAACGCCTAAACCTCTATAAGGCGCAAATTCGGCCCCACATGGAGTACTGTTCTCACCTCTGGGCGGGAGCCCCCTATTACCAGCTTCTTCCATTTGACCGCATTCAACGTAGGGCGGCTAGGGTTATCGACGATCAAAGTCTTTCCGATCGGCTTGATCCTCTGGCTCTGCATAGAGATGTTGGATCACTCTGCATCTTCTACCGCATTTATCACGGGGAGTGTTCTGAGGAATTGTTTGGATTGATCCCGGCGGCTAAATTCCACCATCGGACATCGCGCCAGAACCAAAAATTTCATCCACACCCCCTCGATGTCCAGCGTTCCACAACAGCGCGATTTTTAAGGCATTTCTTGCCTTGCACAACCACTCTGTGGAACCAACTGCCGCCGGCGGTCTTTCCGAACCGTTATGACCTGGGAACCTTCAAAAAGAGAGCATACTCTTTCTTAAAAGGCCGGCAACACATTTGTGAACCCTCGGGTGTTGCAGGTGTTCATGGGCGGCGGTAATCACTTACCATCAGGTGAGCCTCCTGCTCGTTTGCTCCTTTTCTCCATAAAAAAAATAATAATAACAATTTTATTCAACTATTAAGTATCTAAATAATACAATAAATCCACATAAATCACATTTATTAACAGATTTGTGCCAACATGGGCACATTTTAATGTGTTTATGTTGAAGCTATTTTCAAATAAATTATTTGTTGAAGGCGCTATGGTTTAGCATAAATTTTTGACATGATAAAACTATTGTTAAATAAAAGACGAATAAAAACCTTATGTATAGGATAATGAGGAAAGATACTTACTTTGGGGTATATTCTATAACACCTTCATAATCTTTTTGTAATTCAAATGATTGATCAGGTTCCAAGGACACATCATCAAAAGACATATTAGGTTTATTCTTAAATCTAAAAATGTGCAAAAATGATAAACAGATGTATAAAAGCATTTGCAAGATTCTTTTACAAGACTCAAAAGGAATTATACCAACAATCTTAACTTAGATGGGTGAGTATCAGAGTCTTCTGATACTATTATGATTCCTTTTAATTTCACATTCCCCGTAAATGGTATATTAAATAACAATTCTTCGTCAGCATCACTTTCAACATACTGAAAAGAAAATGCTTTGTCATTGGACTATTAACATATAAAAAATGAAATAGGATAACAAATAGTTGATAAGACTAAATCCTATAACAAAAAAACTAATAATCAGACTTGAAATATCTCAATCAATACACATTTTCTATTTAATTTTGAGGAATTCTGATGTATCTCCAGAGTCCAAGGTCCATTACCACAAATAGCAATGTAATTAATATCGTAACACATGTGAATACACTAAACCAAACCCAATGCAAAAATTATTTTTAGTTTCAGTTCTTAAATGAGGTAACAAAAAGAAAAACAATTTACAACCGAATTGAAAACCTCGCCTTTTTTAAAAGTCGGCTAAAAATGTATAAAGCGAAAGGCGACGGTGAAAGCTTAAAAATAATATTTGTTGTTTTAATGCGTTATAGTTTTATGTCATAGTAAAATACTAACTTGAGAAAAATCTAACCGTCTTTCCCAAGGCTTAAAAACAGTTTTTCCTGAGCCATCAACGCTTTCATTAAGACATTGCAGATTCTCTTTATCAATTTTTTCAAAAAGATTGTATTGCACTCCTATTTCTTCAGCGTTGCTGTGGTCATGATCGTGGTTTCCGTGATTACAATGACTATGTGCCATTTTGAAAAGGTGCAAGTTAAATATGACAACTAGTAAAAACACGAAATTTTTGTAGCCTAATTTATTCAACCATATAAAAAATTATCCACCGCAATTGAATTGAATACCTAATCACATCACAACCATGAACCACAACATTTACAAAATGTTAACAAAGAGAATGTAATCACTACGTTTAATATTAATATCTCGCAATAGGGATGCCGAAAAAATATCGATATATCGATATTTTTTGATCCGATGTATCGATATAAAAAATTGAATATCGAAATATATCAAAAACGAATTTTTATTCAAACAGATTCAAAACCGTAAAAGATAAAAATAAATGGAAAAAACCTGTGGTCTATGACTAGTAGTTTCGCGGATGCAGAGTTGCATTTTGTACTATAATAATGATATTTATTCTACAATTACATACTTCGTACTTTATACTATCCATATCTATGGTAAACATGATAAAGGCTAAGGAAAAAATCATACAAAGGTTAAGTATAACTATTCCGCGAGGAAATGCAACTTGCGTTCTCGGCACCATGCCGCGTTGATTAGGTTTATTACAGAATATGTAATTTTAGATAAATTTAATCTTGTATACAGGGTGTTACAGAAAGGTGTTGTAACATTTAAAGGCGTGTATATATATCAGACTTTGAACCAAATGGCATCATTTTAAAATACGAATCTAAGCGTTTTTAGACGATAAAAAATAAAAAAATAATTAACTGTAACAACCCTGATTATAGAAGTCACTGACCGCGCATCGGTGTTATCACTCCATACTCACACATGCATACATCTGATCGCCCGACTTATTCCCCTCTCCCTCCACTCCTCATTACGTCATTACCCCACTTCCCGCTCCTCAAGTTTATCGGTCCCCTCCGCCCGCCCCTCGCCAACCAAACTTTGACAACGACCGCTTCGCGCTGCAGGTCCTGGCGATGCTCTAACACAATGAAACACCGTGCTTATCACAATTTATTTTAATTTATCGGATTTTGTTACAACAGATAGGCACGAAATAGCTATACTGAGAGTCCATGGGCCCTACTTAATATGTTGACTTTTCTTTTGATTAAAGAATAGGTATTCATTATCGGGAAATAAAACACAGACACACTACTGTTACTACGTTTATTTTTCTAAGCAAATATCCGCGTCATACCTACATGAAAACAATTTTACATGGATTTTATAATAAAACCCTATAGTTGGTCAAACATATTCACAATTTCTATGTAACTTTTAATTTTTTTAGTATTGAGATTTTGAATTAAACATTAAATCGCTTGCAGTAGAAGGTACAAACATTTTGAAAGGTTACAACTTACAAATCTTACAACGCCGATAAATTTATTCAACACATCATCAATGAGATACATTATTATGTTATGGCGGATACATAATACATAATGATGACTACAATAATTTTCGAATTAAGTTCAATGTAATTATAAAATATAAAACAATAAAATCTTTATTTGAAATAAATAACCTATACATAGACATTCCAAAGAAATCAGCGTTTACTAAGAAAACTCGTGCTTATCGGTGTCGGTCGATTTCATTACGCGATACTATTCTTTCACTGTTATAACACTTCAGCACTTGGAATAGTCATTGTCACTAAGTTAAAACACACCAAGGTCAAGGGTTGCTTCGTCATTTGCGAAGCTACGAAGCGTATAGGGCGCGGACGCAGACGACGGCCGATACTTTCAGCTGCTTTTTAACACAACTGGCAGTTAATCTAAATTTGTTTCAGCATTCTTGCTCGCTGCATACTTGTTTCGGCTTGTGGCAAATGCTCGTGGTGCAGTTGGCGAGCCTCCCGTAGTACGCGCATACGTCCAGAACATCTTTGCAGACATAATTCGTAGAAGCGACAGTTGCGTCAAAAGCTGGTATAGTTGAAAAGTTCAAAGTAAATCGATGGTCGTTCTATCCGCAACACTGAATAATATCTTCATCAATAATGAATCAATAATGAATCTTTTATCAATAATGAATCGATAACTATAAAATAAAAATCATGAAATCGACTTCATGCCTAAATGGCTGGAGGGTAACTGATTTGAAAATTTAAGTAACACAAAGGAAGCGACATCATTTTGTATTTATTTACATATCTAAGCGGTAGTCGGCTTATGTAGTTAAATAAGCAACGTTTGTGCAAGACTATTTCACCGCGCCGACAATAAGGTTACCATGTCTACTGAGTAAAATTTTAGGACGGCGGTATAATTGGCAATAAAGAAATAAACAACTTTTTTTCGGTTTTCTTTTAATAGTATTCTACCATTGACTACTGCAAAAACTAATCAAATAACACTAAGAAACTAATTGACCTTCTTTAAAATATCACGAAATTAAAAGATAACCGTTGTGATTATTTAATCGCTTTACCTAATTTAGAAACTTTTAGACTCATTTTCAAGTATTTGTTTTATTTTAAACTTTCCATTTCACTACTTCAATCGAGGACACACTACGCCGGAAAATAAAAAACGATATGAAAATTTCAATGAAAAATATTAATGCCAAAGTAATGCTAGCTTACAATGTATCCATTTTTCTAAGTTTCTAACTCAAAGTAAAGACTAAGGAGTCTATGAAAATTCTGGATGAATGGACCACTGAATATCGGGATATTCCGCGAGAATCGGTACATCTGGTAACTCTAGTTGAAACGAGCGCGGTAAATACAAAGGTGGTCTTTGTTAACTGTTATACGCGCCGACAATCCACACTGCCAAAACACGTGAAATTGGTTCGCAGTATCACAACTGATAGCTTTGGATCTTTGAAATTCTCTTTTTTTACTTTTATTTCTAAAGGATTTTGTATACACTTATTGAGAATCACATGACATTTGACATGAACTTTTAACATGAAAATTTATACCGAAACTAATAAATAAATTTTCTAAATATTCAATTTTAATAAGACACATTCAGTTCACATCATTTATACTGGTTTGTCATTGAACTGTGAAACGAGTGTTTTGAATCATATTTTCATTTTTGCTGAACAGAAAATAACGATGAGAAAATAACAACTGCTACTTGTATTTAAAACCCACCAGTCGTCTTAATCAAATGTCGTGGTTGTAACTTGTAACCGTTACTTTACTATGCATAAGATTTTTTTCTATTAGAGACTTTCTGCTCTAAAATACTAAAATAATGTATTGATTTGGTAAGACAATAAATAATTACAAAAATTAAATAAATAAATAATTACAAAAATAAATGAGAAAAGACATTTATTTTGTTTTTAAAATTTTACCTTTATATATTTAAATAATACAAAAAAATCAAAAAATATGAAAATAATGTTAAATATACGGCTTCCTTCTATGAATTTATGATAGCCATTGATCTTACAATCAAAAAAGAAAGCCCATTTATGTATTAGAAATTTGGTCATAAATTAAAGTTAGTGTTTGGTCGATCGATTTCAGATAAAGATTACTTATAATATCATTCTCACACTAATTATAATACATAAATTATGCATACTCTTTTTTCCATTATAACACCATAAGTCTTACTTTAAAATATTACGAACGCTGGATGGGTACTTGTTCCCTAGCAGCTCTAAAGTACAGTGACAAGAGTAGTTTTTTCTCGAAAGAAATAATTATTATTAGTTTTTACTGTCGTTGTGTTTTTAATTTACGTCATTTCCACGACGTCCACGTGGACTGTCGGTGTATTCAAAGGGCGAGTAAAAGTCTAACTCGTAGGTAACCTATTTGTTTAGCTTAGCACCGCGGGCCAATCAGCGATCGGCGGTCACTTGTCTAAAGGTAAAGACATCTTATTTTCGCTTTTAAATTAAAGTTTAAATTTAAACTTTATTTAATTTCACTTTTCACTTTCAGTTGCTCACAATCTATCACGGTGTGAAGTCGCTATTCCTTGTTTATTTTCGATTGCATATTTCAAGATGTCTTTATCGTACTCTAACGCTGAGTATTATGACATGATATTATGTGTCGGTGCTGCAGATGGAAGTTGTCGTCAAGCTCGTCATCTTTATCGGCAACGCTTTGTTGATGGCAGGCCAACATCGGAACAACGGAGGCTTCCCTCGTACGAATGCTTCCGGCGAATGTGTATGCGTCTGCACAGTACCGGATGCTTTCATGCACCCCGCAGCGAAGGACGACGCAGTTCACAACTTGGTTCGAATATGGAGTCCCGTATATATCAACACTTCGAAGAGAACCCTCGAACTAGTACACGTCGAGCAGCAGCGGAATTTGGAGTAAACCATGTCGTGGTGTGGAGAACACTGAGAAACGATGGCCAGAGTCCTTTTCACTTTCGTCGTACACAGGAGTTACTACCAACTGACTTCGCTGCTAGACTGGATTTCTGCCGTTGGTTACAAGGACAACTTAATGACCCATCCTTCGCTGCAAAAATACTTTGGACAGATGAGGCAACGTTCATGCGTATTTACATAACGAGCACGTGTGGGCGCATGTGAATACCCATTGCTCCTCTGAAAGCAGTTTACAGCACCAATGGCGGATAAATGTATGGGCGGGCATATTAGGTCAGCGCATTATTGGACCTAAGTTCCTGCCAGCGAGTTTAAATGTAGATTCATATTTAGAGCTTCTAACTGGTGAATTAGAAGAGGAACTCGAATGTTTGCCGGTGGGAGCTTATTTTAACATGTGGTTCCAGCATGACGGAGCACCCGCGCACTATGCACGTCGTGTCCGCGCATATGTTGATGCACGATTTCCGGGACAGTGGATCGGTCGTGGAGGTCCGGTGCGCTGGCCTCCTCGTTCTCCAGACCTGACACCATTGGACTTTTTTCTGTGGGGTCATATTAAAAATGTCGTGTTTGCTGTTCCATGTGAAACCAGAGAACAAATGGTAGCACGAACAAGAAATGCGTTTAGCACGGTTACACCACAAATGCTGCAAAGGGTGATGGTGTCAGTGTCTCGTAGAGTTGAATTGTGCATCGAGAGA